AATGATTAAGTTGTGTTAAGGAAAAAGCCTTGATGTTACCTCAGGTAAAATCTCCAAACTGATGTACATTTTATCTCACACAAAAATGATATGTTTAATTACATAGATATGGCAGGTGATTTAAGCATGTATGTTCAAAGTTGTGCATAAAAGAAATGATAATTCTTGAAATCCTTGACTGGTGGCATGAGCTATGTTGACTTGTTCCGTGCATTAATTTGTATATTCACAAGTTTATCTATTCAACAAAATTAATCGTTTTGATAATTTTTTTAATTTTTAATTTTTATCTTATCAAACACGGTTTATCTAATGGATACATTCAATATTCATCCTCTTTTGTTGAAATAATCCCTTTACATGCAAAATACATTTCACATTCTAGAATTATCTTTTTATTTTCCCAAAGCTATAAATGTAAGTGACGCATCATCATAATTCACCTCACCTAACCTCACCATGGGTAATTCTGAGAAATTTACACCGCTTAAATCAATTATACCTCTCCCTTACAAAGAACCTCACTCATACTCACCCATGGACATCTCACAAAAAACCAAACCCTAGCCAAAGAACAATCCTCTACTGTCAAAATCCAAGAAATTACCACAGATAAAACCACATAAACTCTCCATCAACTTCTTCTTGAGTATCCTCCGTCACCAAACACAACCAAAATGGAAGAGGAACCAGAACAACAGCCCAAAGAAGAAGAGATCGAGGAATTGGGGGTTTCCTACAAACATAAGACAACAGCGATCAAGCGGCTTGAAGATAATGCTACGCATTTTGTGTCAGGTTTGAGCTTGAATCTTCCATGGTGTAAAGCTTGTAAGTTCAATGAATTCCTTGAGTTGATAGAGTTTCAAAATTGGACTTATTTGTTGAGTGAATGCTTTAATAAGCCTTTGTATGCTGATGCTTTGAAAGATTTTCATGCGTCCTTCTCTTGTGAGAAAGGAAAAATTACATGAAAAGTCTTAGGAAAATCTATTGAGTTTGATTCAGAGTATTTAGGGGAGTTATTTGATGTTCCTAATGCTGGCTATGAGTTGTATTTTAAAGGATCTGTGTAGAAACCTCTTCCTAACACCTCAATTGAGTCAATTGTTGAGCATTACCAAGGAAACCCTAAAGCCACTTATGTCAATCACAACAACTTTACCCCTCTCCAAAAACTGCTGTTTGAAATTGTGCACAATGATATTATCCCATGAACCCAGAAAAGAGATTCAACCAACAAGTTTGACTGTATCTTCATGTATTGCCTTGAACACAAAATTCCCATCAATTTTCCTTCTATCATGATTCAGCACCTAGCCCATTGCGTACCCCGAAACTGGAAAATTGGGTATGGCAACCTCCTCACCACCATCTTTGAAAGCTTTCAAATCAATCTCTCTGAATTTAAACCCCTGCACCTACGGAACAATCAGTATATTCAGAGAACATTCCTTGAGAATCGAGGTCTGCGTGTGATTTACGGATGTTTGGAAGTGTTGCCTGCAGAATCTGAAGGAGAAGAAGAGGCTAAAATTGAGAGGAAGCATCTAAGTCAAAGGTGGTTGAGGGAAGTATGTAGAGAGTAGGAGAAAAGAAAAAGAGAGAGAGGGAGAAGGGTCTGAGATCTAGTGTACAGGAAGAGGAGGAATTGGAGACAGGGGGAAGGAAGAGAAAGAGTCTGAGGCTGTCAAAGAAACAAGCTCATAAGGAAATAGATCATGTTCTCATTGATCTAGGGGAATAGGACATTGCAAAGGAGCCTATAGTTCCTACCCCTCCAGAATCTCCCAAGTCAGTTCCTAAGGAAACAGGGTTTCCTAAGATGAGTTCTCCAGCAATGCTGAATGAAGCAGTTACAATTGAGCTTCAAGAGTTGAAGAAAATGCTAAAAGATGTTGTCTCAGAACTCAAGACCAATTCTGACATGGTGGAGTCTCTTGAAAAGGCTGTCTCAAGCTGTGCAGGTGATGCCAAGTCCTTACTTCTCCAGGTTGCTCAAGCCAAAGATGAAGCAATCAAGCAGGTGGTGGAGAAGATTAGGAATAAGCTTGATGATCTCACTGTAAAAGAAGTCTAATCTTGTTTCCTATTCCCAAAGCCTATGATGATGATGCTTTTGTGTTTATTTTTCTATTTCTGAACAATATTTTCTTTTGGGTCTGTAACTAAAACAGGGATTATTTGCTGTTTTTTTGTTAAACTTGTGGATTTGATGCACTTTTGGCCGATGTCTAACATTGGTTTTTGATGGATGTTTTTTTAATATTTTGTGCATATTTTCTGCTTTGAATTGCTTATATGATCTCTGCCTTGTCATTAGACCATGTTATGGTGTTGTGCTTGAGATAATTTTCTATATACATTGTGCTTTTGATAATGCCAAAAGGGGGAAAGTATATAGGCAAACTACCTTACACACTTATCATCCATCTCTGCCTCAAAAGTTTTGTGTCTCTCTGATTCTTAGTCAAAATTCTTTTCATCTTTTATTTTGTTTTACAGTAGTTTATTGATCTCTTAACTTATTTTTGCTCTAACATATTTGCCTTGTTTGTCATCATAAAAAAGGGGGAATATTGTTGCCCTTGATGTTTTGATGATAACACAAGTCAAATAAGTGGACTAATGATTTCTGTTAGTCTTGTGGTTTATTTATAAGTTGCAGGAAACACTCAAGGCAAAGGAACACAAGGAGCTAAAAATAAAAGAGATCAGTTGCAGATTTCCTATGAAGGAACTAAAGCTTCGGATCAGAAGCTAAGGAAAGAAGACTCGGAGCAGAGACTTCTTAGAGAAAATAAAGTCTGAAATATTTTCTATTTTAGGTTTTATGTAAGTGAAAATTAATTAGGGATTAATGCTTAGTGGAATGCGTTTGAAAAGGATAAGTATTATTGACTCGCTAAAAAATAGGATAGTTTGTTTGGAAAAATATCTTTTCTGATTTTATCCTTTAATGTTGATATTTTTATTTTCAGAAAAATATCTTTGAAAAACTAACTCCCTAAACTTGCGCAACTGACTGTTGATTCAGTCTTCACCACTTACAAATATACTGCTTCCTTAAGGCTCAACGTGCCCTGGTTTTTAGGACATGATTGAAATATTTGGAAGTGGCGAAGAGTAGTGGCGTTGATATGCAGCAGTGGTGGTGTAAGTGGTGGGAAGTGTAGCGTTTTCACCAAGCTATGTTTTCCTATAAATATCGAAGTTATTTTCTGGATAACTTCACCTTGCTCAAACACTTTTATCTTTCTTTCTTGTTTTCAAAAGAGTCAAGAGTCGCATTCCACTTAAGTGTTTTTCTTAATTACTTTCACTAGAGTTTTATATTTGAGTTGTATTTTGGGAATTGGGAGTTTGAGTGAACTCTAAGAGAATTCAGGAGAGAAAGAGAGAGAAGAGTGGCAAGTAGTGGGACTTGCTGCTGGGAACTTCATGTTCGTAGAGGAACTTGAAGATTGATTCTTTAGTTTGTAATAGGTTGTTTCCCTGTTATAGTGAAGAATCTTTCCTAAAATCCCAAGTGGTCGTGGTTTTTCTTCTTGTTAGGGCCAAGAGGTTTTCCATGTAGCTTAGTATTATCAATTCCGCAAAAAGTTAGCTCAAGTCTCACAAACTAAAATTCACTCCCCCCCCCCTCTTGTAGTATTCTTTTAAAGTAACAAAGAGTAACTCAATTTACTATCAAACATGCTTTAAAAATTAATCAAGGAAATTCCAATATTTATTTCAATAATTCTAATGTAATAATTTCAAACCAATTCCCAAAAATTCCCAAGTACTCAATAATTCAAATTATATTTCAAATAACAAAAGTCGATTCATTTAAATTAAAAATCCAATTCATCCTAAGTGTGCACACCCCCCAAGTTAGTATCTTTAATTATATAGAAAGGCTATCCTTGAGAAAAGACCCGGTCATCCAAAGTCCATAGTTTTATCAACCAAATCCGCATAGGGGGGTTTTTAAACATGCTTGCAAAGCTTTAATTATAACCCAATAATTCTCATGAAATTCCTCTTTTAAATAAATCAACCTTTATAATAAAATTACTCCTTTTTATTTTATTCAACACACTTTCAAACCAAACTTTTTAAACATGATAAAGAATTTAATCATTCAAAATATGATATTAAAATCAGTTCTAAAACATGCTTAATTTCCTTAATTTAAACATTAGTTGCTCAAACTTATTACATAAATCACAATTCAATTCAAACATCTTTAAAATCACATAAAACATGTTAATCAAATTAATCACTTTAAAAGGTATCTAGCCACATAAACGTACCTTAACTTCTTGCTTAGCAAACACACAAGAAATCAAACACCCTTGTTAAGAACACCAAACCTTGATTAATATAAGGTAATCAATTAATCATAACAATTAAAAAAAAAAAAGAACTCCAGATTACATGGACATGAATCATTGAAATTCTTTTTCAGAAAACTTGAATAATTTTCTAATTTTATTTAATTAAAGCAGCAATGATAATTTTATATAAAACCATAATAATAATAATAATAATAATAATAGTAATAATAATAATGATAATAATAATAAAATTAATTAAGGATAGGCATAAAAAATAAGTTATTTGTGTAGAGAATAACTTGAAAATGGTTTCAAAAAAAAAAAAGAATAAATTGAGGATGGTCATAAAAATCCTCTTAGTCCATATTTTATTTTTATACCAAGTTACACCTAAAACCCCCAGGGAATATAGCTACATCTACAGTTCTTCATCAACTAGTCTTTACACAGAGACAGATAGTATGAAAGCTACGATAGTACATTAGACAATTGGTGTGGTTGATTCAAGTCACAATTTTATGTAATTTTGATAAAATCATATAGTACATCACTAGTGGAATTTTCATTTTTCAACCGCATTATTCTAGATGTACAAACAGAGATTGCACCGAAAAAGTTATTAAATAATAAAAAACCTCAAGATATAGTAGGCATAGTTAAAAGAGGAATGGGACTTACTGAAACAGGCATATTGTTGTTCAAATGATATAATACAAGGAGGCAGGAGACCACGGAGTCCAAGTCGATCTCTTTCTGTCAAAGGGAATGCAGTATCCTGCTCAAAAAATATTTGAAAAATGCAAACAACTAAATTTAAAGTTTCTATTGTAGCAAATCAAGTACCAGGATCAATAGGTTTTAAAAAAAAAAATCATGGCAAGGTAGATGACAAAGGCTACAAAATTAATCAAGCTATAATTTTAGGAAATTTTAGATTTTAACACCTCACAAAAACCGGAAAATGGTTTTTAACACCCTCATAAAAAAAATTGATTTTAACAAATTTCAAAAAATTGGGTATTACCATCACTTAACTGATTTCGTTCACAAATCCGTTTAGTGGGGTCATATAGACACGTGTCGCTTTATTATTGGCCAAAAAGATAAAAAAAATAATAAAAAAATTTTTTTAAAAAAGAAAAAATTAAAATAAAAATTTAAAAGAAAAAAATATAACCTAAAACTACCCCCAGCCACCCCAGCCCCACCACCGTCGTCCCCCAACCCACCCCCTGCCGGCGTCTGGCGTCCCATAGAATCGCCCAGCGCCGGCGACCCCACCCCCACCCCCCCTTTCCTCCACCTACGCACCCCACCCCTTCCCTTCCCTTCCCCATATTCGTTCCCGGCCTACAACCCCAAAACCACCCTAAACGAGTTTAAGGGTTTCGTTTGGGGTGGTAGGGAATCGATTAAGGAGGGGAAAGGAGAGGGAGGGCGTTTTCGGGGGAGGAGGAAGGGTAGGAGGGGCGTTTTCCGGGGGAGGGGGCGTTTAGGGTGGTTTTGGGGTTGTGGGTCGGGAAACGAAGATGGGGAAAGGGAAGGGGTGGGGTGCGTAGGAGGAGGAAAGGGGGGGTGGGGGTGGGGTCGCTGGCGCCGGGCGATTCTCTGGGAAGCCGGGCGCCGGCAGGGTGCAGGTTTGGGGACGGCGGTGGTGGGGCTGGGGTGGCTGGGGGTAGTTTTAGGTTTTTTATTTTTTTAAACAAATAAAATATAGACACGTGTCACTGTGGACCCACATTTAACAGAATTTTTTTGCGGAAACCGTTAAGTGGTGGTGATACCAATTTTGGAAATTTGTATGGTGTTAATACCCTTTTTTTTTTGGGAGGTGTTAAAAACCATTTTCGGGTTTTTATGAGGTGTTAAAATCTAAAATAACCATAATTTTACAATGGTGATCAAAGCCAAAGAGCTAATCACCTTCCATAGTAGCCGTTGAAAATCCTTGCCCCCATACACATAGGCCATTCTAGTGCACTATTATACGAAGATTGGTACAAGTTTAAGGCAACTCACAAGTAATACATGTATTCCTCTCGAGTTTTAACATCAACAAGATAAATTACTTTCCACATTTTCCAGAAATTATTCACTACTAAAAAACGACATCAAATCAATCACATTCTTCGTAATCAAAATTATTACAATCAATCAATCAATCAATCAACAAAATTATAAGACTATTAAATGTTTAATTGTAATTACTAATTTTAATTTCCCAGCAAAATCAAATAATCAAATTAAACATGTAAAATCAATCAATTAATTTGGGAAAAAAAACCCCTATAATTAAGTAATTGCAATTAAGCAAATTGAAACAAGGGTTACGAAATTGGGGGAGGAGGGAGAAGGATAGCATCAAATTGAGCTTACTATTGATGGGAATTTCTTGAGCAGGATCGAGCTTACAGGACCGAGAACTTGAGAGCTTGAGCTGCTTCAATGGAGAGAGCTTGGGAGTGAGAGAGGGAGTCGCGACGAGAGGGACCACCGGAGTTTGGAGAAGACCGAGAACTCAGAGTGCGCTTTAATGGAGAACTTAGAGTGCGCTTCAATGGAGAACTCAAAGTGCACTTCAATGGAGGATGCTTAGGAGAAGAGTAAGGATGAGAGGAGCAAATAAAAGCAGGAGAGAGAAATAGGCAACCCGAAAAGATCGAACTGAGCTTGGAGTTGCTTCAATGGAGTTGAAGCAGGTGAGGACGATGCGGGAGCTGGTTCAATATTGGAGAGAGAGGGGAAATATTTTGAGAGAGAGAGAGTGAGAAAAGGGGAAATTAAAAATTTAGGGTTTATTTTGAAACCTTATTCGTAACAGACACTCCTTGTTGGTTACAAATAACTAGGTCAAAATTCTGTTGACTTTTCTATTTGTAACGGGCAAGACTTGTTGGTTACGATTAGTCGGTTATTCGTAATAGGCACCAATCTGTCCGTTACAAATATCTCTTTTCCTGCACAAGTCACAACTTTTTTGTAAAGGACATTGAATTTTCCCGTTACAAATGATGTAATTGTAACGGGAATTCATATGCCCGTTACGAATAACTTGTTATAAATAAGATTTTTTTTCACTAGTGAGAGGTGAAAGCCGAAAGAAGAAGAGGAGAAGAAGTGGCGACATGGGCAGCAATAGCTCGCCCTAAAGTACCTGCTGCATGTGGCGGTGACGGTGTTTGACGATGGCAAGTGGTGGTGGTGGTGGTCCACAAAAACTGAGAGAGGGGAGGGGGAAACCGTGGGGTTTTTAAGAGAGAAAATAGAGGATTTTTGTGTGAGTTTTTGCATTGGTACAAGGGGTATTTATAGGCTTAAGCATGTAAGAAATCTAAGTATTAAGGCAATATTTTGTCGGAAGAATTAAGTTAATTTTGGTTTATGGAATTACTTAAAAAGAGATTTTAAATTCAAAGAAAGTTTAATTTTTAGTGATAAAGTAGATAAGGAATTATGGTAAGTTGTTGATCATGAAATAAAAGATGGTAAGTAATTAAGCTTGCTTGGGGAATAATTCAGAGACAATATAAGCCAAGGTGATTCACGGTCATATATTTGCTAGATTATTTCAAATATATATATATTTGCTAGATTTAAGTAGGAAGATTTAGGATAATAAAAAGAATAAATTAAACAGTCTACAAAAATCTAAACAATAATCTACTTAATATGTCCCAATTGGCCAAAATTTTCAAGCAAATAATGCCTTAGGATTTTCATACTATTCAGTTAATTAATTAGATATCATTAAATTTTGAAAAATCCAAAAACTACCTAATTAATTTTTGGTTTTAGCTAAAATATTAAGTCCCTGTTTGGGAGAAAGATGAAAGCTGAAAGCTGGAGCTGCTTGAGTTAGCTGATTTTGACTAGCTGATTTTATTAACTGATTTGACTAACTTATTGTATCAACTGATTATATAAAAGTGTTTTCTAAATAGCTGATATCTTAAAGGTGATTGAGTATGTGAAATTACCAATAAGCTAATTGTGGGGTAGGTAGTTTAGATAGGATTTTAAATTAAATGAGGTTATAAGTGTCATTTCATAATAATTAATGAATAAGCTAATTAAAAAAGCTTCTAAAATGAGCTTTTTCAAAAAGAGCTTATTTAGTGGAATAAGCTCTTTCAATAAGCTTAGTACCAAACACTTGTATTAGCTTGTTTGACTAGTCAATCAGCTAAAGTTAGTCAAATAAGCTAATATACCCCCAATAAGCTTACTACCAAATAGGGCCTAAAATATCCAATTATTTCTAACCTAATTAACTAGCAAAAATCAGTTTTTCCAACAATTAGAAAATTCGAAATTTTCCAAGTTAATAGCTTGAATTTAGACCTTTTTTTATTAAATTAGAAATAGATTAATTATTAAAATATTTGAAATGTATCTAATATTCGGTTTTTATTAACATATTAAATGGATGATTAATTTTATCCAAAATCCAAATAATAATTGAATTTAAAAATATTTTTTGGCCCCAAAATTCAAATATCATTTTAGCTTCAAAATTCAAATACTAAAATAAATTAAAATACCCTTTTTAGAAATTAATAAACAATTAATTAATTAGAAGATAGGTCTCAAATATACGGGGTATTACATTAAAGATTGATTATCCTATGTACAAAAATTTATAATCAATTCAAAAAGTGCAAAATTTTATTTTTTATATAATTCATCCTATGTCAAGCACAATTCATCAATTATCTCTTAAGCTCATTTAAATATCACAAAATTGATCTACATTTAGGGTACTTTACTGATTTTCTATTTCTGCAATTGCAAAACACTTGTTCGTCACAATCATGGCAGCAAAGTAGCTAGTGACAAAATGAAAGCCTGAAAGTTATGAGCCATAATTTATCTCATATGAATGTTAATTAAGTGATTGTAATAAATAGCTTAAAATAAATAATGCTAATTGTATACATATACTGCTATTTGGTCATGTTTTTAGATAGCAAACAATATGTTTGAGGTGTTGCCGTGTTGGAATAATTGAACTTGATAGTGGCTCTTGAAGATTAATTTGGTATAGGTGGTTTGTATCCAATCTCCATCTATTTTTAATTTTATTTCGTCTTTTACAGCCTTTATTATTTGATTAGCTTTGATAATATTGTTCTTAGTTTTATTTTAATCCTTTAGAATAATGTTCCATTTTAAGAACTTGGTCATGTTCTCTTTGTAATAAAGTTTTGCTTGTATTCGAACTTATCACTACAAAAAAAAAATGAGAATAGGCAACACTTACAGAAATGTGATAAAAAAATAAAATAAAAAAAACAAACAAACAAACATAATAATTGTTGCATTAAAAGATGACAATAACAAAACTATTGTTTGAAAATGTAACATTAAAATCTATGTTGCCATCATATATATATATATATATATATATATATGTGTGTGTGTGTGTGTAGGGTTGAGATCCAATAAGAAGTTTCTTAAAATGAGAAGAAAGAAATTTGCAAAAAAATTCACTGAATGTGCAAATTTTTTTCACTAAATGTGCAAAATTGACGAACTAATAAAAAAATTTGAATTTTCTAGAAAAACAGAAAATATGCACATTGTGTTCAAAATTTATGCACATTGATTTCTGTCAATTTTGTTTGTTTGTTTTTTTTTTTTTTTTGCACATTTAGTTCGAAAAACATGCATATTCAGTACAAAAATTATGCACATAAAATTCTTCTCATCCTTCTCATTTTAAGGATCTTCTCATTTGACCCTAAATCTATCTATATATATACACACAATTGGGATCATGTGAGAACCAAGTCCTATAATAGGAACTAGGAACTCATCGTGATCGTTGATTGCTCTCAATCCGACGACTTGTGTTTCACTCACCTTTTTCAATTTCATTAAGGGTATTTTGGTAATTTCGCCAGTTGAATACCTTTCTCCAGTTCTTTTCGCAGCTCTTTTGTTTCTCTCTCCTCTCTTGCTCTTCTCTCTCTTCTCAAATCTCTCTGTATTTTCGTTTCTCTTGTACCGAAATCGGGATTTTGTTCTTCCCTGATCAATTTTTTTGCTGTGATTCTTTGGTTTTCGTCATTGTTTGAGATAATTCTTTTTATTTATTATACATTTTGTGATTTTGTGAATTTTTTTTATCGATTTGCGATCTATTTTGCCCGATTTGAGTGTGAAGTTAGGTTTTCGCCATTTTTGTTTGATTAATTTTTGTCTGCGTTTTTTATAATCATATTTTTGATTTGGTATTATTATAATTTCACATTATGTCTTTTGGAAATAATAATTAGTTTGAATTTTGTATAATTTGATTTATTTTACTTATTTGTTCGATTATTAATTTGGTATTATTAGTTTGATTTATTGTATAATTTTATCACTTGTCCATAAGATTTCAATAAATACACTGCAACACATGTTGTTACTTAGCAGAGTCCTTATCTAGTTAGCTGTATTAATCCTATGGAAGAGAGTGAAACACAAATTGTTTTGCGACTTCAACACACAGGTTGTTGCTCAACAAGGCCATATCAGGTTCAGATGAGAAGGTCAACATTGGTTCAAGTCGTTCAGTTATGAAATTTTTGCACATCTTCTGAGTTTTATTATTTAGTTTTGTGAAATTCATGGAGGAGTTTTATTATTTAGTTGTTTTTACTTTTGAATTAGTCTTATTTACTTTTGAGTTAATGGTAGTTACTTTTGAGTTAATGTTAGTGACTGAGTTTATATAATTGTGTGCATGGATAATTTAGTAGTGGACTACATTTTTCAATATGGAGCTGGTGACTTCCAACCCACAAAGGCAGCAGACCTTTGCCTAGTGTATGTTCCCTCTTACACTGATAGCGACACACACACATGACAAACCCAAAATTCAATGTGTTGCTTGCACTGCTATTTTAATCTTGAAACTGATTTGAGTAGATAACTTTGTTCTTCTTGGCTAACGTACACCATCTAAATGCGGACCCATATCTTGTTGATCATTTGCGTTGTGTGCAACATATATTGCCAACCTCGCTGAAATTTAATAGTCTATCACTTCTAACTTTTCCTCGAATGGCTAAAGGTGAACTTGTTGGAGTTTTTACAATTCTAGTAATGCAAATCGGAGGTTTACCAAGTGAGTGTGCAAGAAGTTGATGATGGAGTGGTGTGTCAAGCAAGTTAGTGAGTTGCGCGAGACCGAGCTAGCAACGGAGCTAGCGAGAGAGCTATAGATGGCATAGCAAGTAGACTACGCAAGGTCGAGCTAGCGTTAGAGCTATAGCTCACATGGCATATGAGCTACTGCAAGTCCGAGCTATAGCTCGGATGGTAGCTCGTATGGTCGCTCTGCTTATGGCAGGTGCGAGCTATAGCTCACATGCTAGCTCGCTGCGCTTTTTGCTTGCGGTAGATGCGAGCTATAGCTCGCGTGCTAGCTCACTACGTTTATTGCTTACGGCAGGGCCGAGCGATAGCTTGCTCATATGAGAGCGAGAGCTCGGCCGCTCGTGGGCTTATCGTGGAGGCCTTGTTTGCTTCGTTTATATCCTTTCTTTTGTACACATATATATATACCCTCCTAAACCCTCAAATTGAGACATACACAGTTTTGTTATCTCAGAAACCCAAAACACATATACACAAACCTACCCTTTGAGATTTGAACAGTTCTTGAGTAATTCCACGCTTCGGGTTCGGGTACACGAATTATGAAGGAGAGTTGCGTTAAACTTGGGGGGCGTGCGTCATCAGGAAACCTGTACCGGTGGTGGTGTATTTCGCTTCTAAGGCAGTGGATTATGTTCCATGGCGCAA